AAAATAATAGTTAATGTTAAAATTTTAAATATATATATATTATTGTATTTAAAGTTAAAATAAAAAAAAGTATTTCAAAAAAATAAAGAATAAATCTTTCATTTGAAAGTAAACAAACAATATTATTTTCTTGGATAAGACAACAAGTATTCCAAAAATAATATGTATAAAAACTTTCGAGAATAAGTTTATACTATAGTACTATTTTTCAAATATATAATTTATCAGTATTTTTTTGTTGATAAAAATTTTTCAAATTTATTTTTAAATACTAAAAAGTAATCAATTAATGTAGAAAGTTTTTTAATTTCAGTTGAAAGCTTTTTATTATCTTTAGAAATAATAATAGATATTGTTGTATTATTTTCTTTTAGTTCTTATATTTTGCTTAAAAGTTGTTTATTTATAAGTTTTAAATCTTTATTTTCTACTTCTAATGATATATAATTAGAGTTTTGATAACCTAAAAGTTGTCTTCTTAGTTTTTCAATTTCATCTTGCAGTTCTCTGTTAATAATTGATAAATCATTATTTACAGTTTTAAGATCATTATTTTTTTTATTTAGATTAATTAATTTTTTTAATAATAAAGTTGTTGTCATTTTAATTTATTAAAAAAAAAGTTAAGAATAAAAACAATATTTATATAAAAAATTAAAAATAAAATTTATAAAAGAAAACAAATAAATTTGAAAATCCAATAATAGAACCTATAATACCAATCATTATTTTATTAAAGTTATATAAGATTTGTTCTTTTATTTTATCAGAAATATAATCGATAAATTTTTCTTTATATTTTTTAATAAGTTTTTGAATTCTATTAATAAATTCTTTAACTTGAATATCTGTAAATTTACTAACTAATTCTTTCATTTTATCAAATGCAATTGATTGTTTTTTTATCCTTAGTTTATTACAAACAGTATCTTTTGATAAAGATTTTTAATATGTTCTTTTAAATGTTGTTCGATTTTACTTTTTTTAAATTCATTTTTACAAATTGGACAACTGATAAAATTAATAATAGGTGTTGTTATTATACTAGAAGGTTTTATAGTTGAAGAAAGAATTGGTTTACTTGTTGTTATAAGTGTTTTAGTTGTTAAAATTTTTGGAAAATTAGTTGGTCTTGGTGGTAAAAGAGTGGTTATAATTGGTGAAGTATTAATTGTTGTAATTGTTGTCATAGGATTAATAGTTGTGGTTGGAGTATTAATAGTTGTAGTTGGAGTATTAATTGTTATTGTAGATTGATTAATAGTTGTAGTTAGAGTATTAATTGTTGTAGGTGGTTGTCTATCATCATCTTCAGGTAGAGAAATTGGTGTTGGATTTGGTTTATTTGTATTGTTTCTAAATATTATTAATTAAATAAAAAAAAAGCAACGCAAAATTAAAAATATTTACTTTTTCTTTTGATATTCTTCAGAATTTTCTTCAAGTTTTCATTTTAAATCTCTAATTTCTTCTCCTAATCTATTAATAGCCAAAGCAGAATTTTGATTGAGATCAATCCATCTATATGAATGATTTAATTCTAATATAGTTGCACAAGATCCTCTTAAATATCTAGCTTTACGTTTTGGTGCAAAAGCAGTACAGTCATCTCTCCATATAATCACCTCCTATATAATCATACCATATATAATCATATTTATGTTTAAGCAAAACTATGATTTAATTTATAAGAAAAACACCTCCATATAAGCACAACTCCTATATAAGCACATGTTGAAAAAAATTTGCTATGTGCCCAACTGTATAATTGTATGGGAGAATGACTGTACCAAGATTATATTTAGATCCCTTATCTAAATTAGATATATATTTTAAATATTTTAATGATTTATTAATATCCAATACTATTATAAACCAGAAGAATCCTGTATTAAATTGAACAAATGTATTTCTATCTACATTAGATAAACAAGTAATACACTATTATTTTTTAATTTTTTATATAAAACAGAATATTTTTTCATAATCACATTTTGAACAATCGATTTGTTTAATTTTATTATATACAACATTATAATTTCTTTTGATTGGACTATTAATTAAATTATTAATATCTTTGAATACATTTTCTGATAGTAAATGACTATTATTTAGTACTTGAGCTTGATTGATAGGTAATTCGCAACTAGTTCCTACTTGAAGAATTATTGCTCTAATATTAAAATTTTTCAAATTAGATTGATTGTATATGTATTACCAGCATCTGTACCTCTTTGTACTTCAGATAATAGAAATTGATATTTTAAAAGTTCTTGTTTGAAACTATTAGTTTGAAGTGAATCTAACATATTATTTTTATAATCAAAGATATTTAAACGTAGAATTTGATAAAAATCTAACATATATTTAGTTCTTGTGTTTGCATTGAAATTTATATCTTGAAATAATAAAGTTGAAGAGTAATAAAGTTGAGACTATCTAAGTAAAGTATTTTGTCTATCTGATATTTGTGCAGGTGTTTGAAGATTGGCTCTTCAACTTCTTCTTTAAATAAATGAATTATATTTTGCTTGTTCAGCTAAATAATCTTTTACTTCACAAGTTCTTTCAAGTTCTGTTAATTGTTCACCTATTGGGGTACAGAAACTCACTTGTAGTCTAGCCATTTATTCTAATCCTATTGTGTAAATATTTTTATTTGTAGCAGAAAAGCAACAGATACAACTTGAACTACAAGATCCTGATTCATTGATATAACAACACCTACAACTATTATTACAATTTTTATTTTTTTCTATATTAGTTTTTTTATTATTTTTGCTACTATTTTTATTGGTATTTTTATTGTTTTAGATGCTGTTTTTTTTGGTATTTTTTTTGTTGCTGTTTTTTAGTTATTTTTTTTTTAGATTTAGTAACTGATTTTCTTTTTCTTTGTTTAATTGGAACCACTTTTATTGATATTGTTCAACAAATTGAATAAAAAAAGTAATAGCTTTTGTGATCACTGTTGATAAAATTTGTTTGAGACCTAAGATTGAAATAAATTCAAAATTTTCTTTATAGAAATATACAGTGCCAAAGATTATTATAGAAAAAACAATGATAATTTCTAATAAAATTATAATAAATAAAAAATCATAGAGGTTTGATTTATCCATACAGAAGAAATAGAAAAAAATTTTTAATGATTCTATTTATATTTTTTTGTATAAATAGTTGAGTTCTACATATTGAGATTAGTAATAAAAATGTGATTTTATTTTTTTGTTTTATTTTTGTTAATAATTTTAACAATTGGTGAAACAACAAAAGTAACAAGATATATTAAAAATAAAAGACCACAAAAAAAATATATTTGAAAATACGGTTGCAAATTATAAAATCTTTCATTATTTTGTTAATAATATATTTAATTTTTATTACAAGTGATTCATATACTGCAAAAACAAGAAGAAGAATTGGTAGAATTAAATAACCAAAAAGAGTTGAAAGACTGAAAATAAGAAGAAATAGTCCAAGAGTAGTTGTACCAAGACCAAAGGGTTCATGATATACTCAAACACTAGTATTAGCTCTACCAGATACTACAATTGATAAGTTAGTAACTTAGAGATCAGAAAAATATCAAAATGTATTAAATAAAAATAGAAAGGTTATGAATTAATATAAAGAAGCCTTTATGTTGAGAGAATTAGAAATAGTCAAGTATGATATTCTCCAATTTATAAATTAATTGAAATATTACCAACACCAAGATCTAGATCTAGATCTGAAATTACTAAATAAAATAAATTAATATATAAAATATTAAATTAGAAACTTCAGCACAATGATAATTTTCACTATATCCTGCACTATTCCCTGTATTATCTATCACTTATAATTTTGATAGATAAAGATATACATAACTATAAAATTACTAAAAAGAGTAAATTGATAATATGCAAGTAATTTATTATTTATATTAATTTAGTAATACATTTTGAATAAATTGAATACTTTATAAATTTATATTATCAAAATAAAGATAAAAGAACATAGAATTTTCTTCATAATCATTTTATTTATCACTTAAAATTTTGTTTATCAAAATAAAAAAATATTTATCTAATAAAAATTTATCTTATTAAAAAAAATATTTTAAAATGTTTAATAAAATTTTTTCATTATTGTATTTATGGTCCTTTTAGGACTATTCATTACATAACTTTTCGCTAGTGAATATCAAGAAGATATTTACTATTTTTTAAAAAAATCTTATTATTCAGATTCTTTCTTTTTTATTTCTGTAGTTATTATTAATATAATAGCTACTATTATAATAAACGCTCTTTATCAATTTTGGTTTTGGATACATTAATTGAAACTTTTTCAGAATAATTTATTTTTTAAAATTATTCATTATCACCTCTATTAGAGGTAATAGATTTCCTAATGTTGAGTAGACCTGAGTCTTAAGAAGCTTTCAAGAGCACACTATAGAAGGAATTTGGGTTGAAAAAATGATTATTGACAATTGAGAATCTTATATAAAAATAGTTTTATATTATAT